CCAGGCACTTTACACCACTATATACCATCGTATTACATCTGCATGCTGAGTGAGGATCCTACAGCCAGCTGGCCGCTTCACGCCAGGCACTTTACACCACTATATACCATCGTATTACATCTGCATGCTGAGTGAGGATCCTACAGCCAGCTGGCCGCTTCACCCCAGGCACTTTACACCACTATATACCATCGTATTACATCTGCATGCTGAGTGAGGATCCTACAGCCAGCTGGCCGCTTCACGCCAGGCACTTTGCACCACTATATACCATCATATTACATCTGCAGTACAGTTACTGATATTTTTTACTTTAATCGTTTTATTGTTTTTTGTCGTTATTTTAGTCTTATTTATTTGGATCTTGTTTATTTTGTTTATCTTTGTATTGCAAATAGAGACAGACTCTGCTGACAGGGGTCCGTATGACAGACATGAGCTGTTCTGATAAAGCTTGCTGTCCTATGAAACACACACACACACACACACGTTTGTATTAATATCTTTGTGGGGACCGTCCATTCATTTCTATGGAACAAATCCTAATCCCAACAATGACAACCTACCCAGCCCTAACCTTAACGATAAGTAACCAAACAAAATACAAGACTTGTGATTGCATTGACAGATTTTAATACAATTGAGATTCCCGTTGTGGGGACCAAGAAGGTGGTCCCCACAACATCAAAATAACATGGTTTTATCATAATGTGGGGACCGAATGTAATGTATACATGACCCCCTTCACACATACCCACACACACATGGGGTCAGAGCCATTTTTCAGCACCCAGTTGTATGTGGCATTGCTGTCTTTGGAACATCATAAAATATTGCTAAAATATTACAATAAGCGGCTATCAGAAGTCACTTTGCATAACTGGGTATGTGGTAATAATAAGGTTCGTGTCTCAGTGTGGAGGGCAGGCAGGTGTTGCTTCTGATCAGCCGGGTTTCTGGGTTAGATTCCCCATTAGCAGATGCTGGGTAGCTAGATTGAAAAGAAACTTTTTATTGCTCTTTATTCTTGAAAATGTGAAGCAGCAAGAATGTATCTGGGTGAGTCCTGGCCCAAGTGTCCAATAGCAAAAAGTTTAAGTTCCACCTCTGGAGCCAAGATGGTGCCCCCCCAGGCAGAGTGCTTAATTTAACTTTAGCTAAGTGCAGATGGTGTGGTGGTATCAAGTAACGTTCCCCCAACCTGGGCTGTATTCCCGGGGGGGGGGGTGCTGGTGCAATATCCAAAGAAATTGTCGATTTCCATAGCAGTAAAATACCACTGAGTATTCGGAATGTTGTCTGTTCTAGTCCAATATTACTAAACAAGACGCTGAAACACAATTGTTCCGAATGATCTAATTAGACGTCTGTAGTGTTCATGTCACGGATACAGCAGAGCGACTGGCCAGCAGACCTGAGAACCGGTCTGCCTAAGGAGCACGACCTGGGGGCGGCGCTGCACTAGAACACTCTGCATTCTGGCCAGGTTATTCTTAGGCCAGGGGGTGGGCGGCCAGGGGGTGGGCCGCCAGGGGGTGGGCCGCCAGGGGGTGGGCGGCCAGGGGGTGGGCGGCCAGGGGGTGGGCCGCCAGTTGACCTTGGTCTCCTGGAGTGTTTAGTTTCCTCTCTTACACAGTGTTCTGGCTTTTATACTCTGTTTCCGTGTTTCCCAACCTGCTCCTCTGGGACCCACAGAAAGTCCACAGTTTTCTCCCTCCCAGGTCCCTATGGCAAAAACGTGGGTCTGCGGGACCAAGTTGGGAATCATTGCACTCTTTTCTTTTACACTACTCCACCGTTACCCGAAATTGTAACGTGTAAGTACCGCTGTTTGGTTCTGTAGTGCTTTACGGAAACCGTGTTAGGAGAGATAGTATATAAAAATACTCAGCTGAATGCAGTTACAGGGTATATACAGAAATCCAGAGGTTAAATTTAACACTTTTTAATACCTTTGTTTAATACTTTCTCAATATTTTTTAAAACCCGCACGGCATTCAATTGCAACCATTTTTAAACAAGTTTCAAACTGATTTAAAGATTTATAATGTTACACAATTTTGGCCTGTACAACAAAATTTAAATAGGGAACATGGGTCAACAGAATAAATTTAGTGACTGTGATT